CTCAGTACCTGACCTTCCCCCCATTACACGTACAAATCAGCATCTTTGAGAAAAACATATCGGTTTGGTGGGGAGTCACTTCTTTTCTTATAGCGTTTTATTGCTCTTTCGCTACTGAGAATAGTTGAAATATAAGGAACAAGTATAAGCCTGAGACGACGCTGAAGTTTAAGCTCGAAAAACCCGGACCTGAGCCAACGCCTAGGCTAGGCCCGGCCTATGCCTCTGCAAATTCTGCGCTTACGCGACTCCTGGGCAAGAACTGGCCAGGTCTGCTTATACCAAGCGTCAGCCACTCCTCAACCAAGCGGAAACTACGCCTAACTAAATCTAAGTCAGGCCCAAGCCAAGCCTAAGCCATGCTAAGCCCCAGATGGAGCCGAGGCTCTAAAATCAAGTAAACTTTAGTCCAAGCCTGCCCGAATCAAAGTCGAAGGACTATCATGAGTCTGAGTCTACTCGAAAGCTTTAGCGGAGCCCCTGATCCTAAGAACCTCAGCTAAATCCTAAGATCGAAAGCTAAGCCTAAACCTGAGTCTAAGGCGGAGCCAAGACAAGTTCGCAAGAAGCTCAACACCGGCAGTTGATTTTTGCGCAAGACGCTCGAAACAGAGGACTTCCAGCAAATAGGAAGCTTGATGCCGCAGAAACTACAGCGTTGTCTTTCTTGTCCCTTTAAAGAACGTATGAAACGCTTCCGGTCATGTCTATCTTCTACGACAATAAGCTTACCACTGACTTTCGCCCCAGGTCACAAATTGGATCAACCCATTCTCGAGCGCGACAGGAAAGGCGATGTTGTTCTCGTAAAAAGGCGAGGTGGTGGTGATGAGGGAAATAATCACTTTCCCATACCTTCACCTCGTGCTGTTCCGATTGCCACACACGGCAAGATCTTTCTCTTCTTTTCGTTCCCTAGACAGAACTCATATCAACGTCTCCATTTTCACGAATTTATGTACATTTTCGATGGTGCACCGGATTTTGGTATAGTTCCGGTACCGGGATAGTCTGGCTTGGCAGGGCTCTTTTTTGGCTTCTCCCCCTTGCTTTTCTCTTTTCGCGCTTTTTCCGGTAATTGCTGTTTTCAGCCCGGGCTCGTCGCTCTCGATTTTGGGTGGCTTGTCGGTGCGAGTCGGACTGTCCTGACCATAAACTCTCGAATTTCACGATAAACTAGGCGGGAACTAGGCGGGTGGCACGAGCGGAGCATTGCGTAGTCGCGGAATCTGAGATGACTGTTTATAATATTCTGCGTAGCTGACGTAATTTGTAGTAAACTGTCGAAGCGTAATGACGACTGAACGTAGTTGTGCGGTTGTAATTTAATTTTCATAGATTTACTTTATTCATTAAAGGAAAAGTTTCTAAAAATTCCCTGATCCTGATTAATTACTTTTTACTTCGTGGAACGTTTAAGGGTTAGTTTTTTAACCCTTTTTCCGCTTTTTTTTGCGTCCCTGTTATTGCCCCGAAAATGCACTGGATGCAAGCGCAAAAGAGAACAGCCAAAGAATCCCCCTACAACAGCCGGCCGAAAAATGACCGGAAAATGGGAAGACTAGAATGGTGAGCAGCAGCCCATATTGGGGGCAGGAGAAGCACTTTCCATGCCCGATATTCTATGGCAAATATGCCCTCCTGAACCAGCAGAGGCTTTGCTAGCCGTCCTCTGAAAATTTCTGCAAAGTTTCCAGAGACTTTGGCTCTTCTATATCCGTTTTTGGCAACTTCGTATCGGCTTGAAATGCAAATAATGTGTTTTTGGGCAAATTGATGCTTCGATCTATAAAAGGCATTTCAGTTCCAGGAGCAGCTGCGCCAAGAAGCCGTTTTTATGTGAGGCCCAGTGGAAAAGATGTCTCTCTCGTCAAAGTCATCAGTAAGTGTTGATGGGGCTTAATCTTTTTCTTTATCTCTTTCGCTCTCCCTCTGTCTCTCTATCACTGTCTGTCTGTTTCTCTCTCTCTGTCTCTCTCTCTCTTTCTCAAACACACGAACTCTCGCTTCCAGGTTCCTTTAAAAATGGAAAAATAGATCGACGACGATCATTGAACGATTGGTTCATTTTCCCTCACCACCACCCTCAATTTCCTTCCAAACTTTCAACGCAGCGTCGTAATCAGAACCCCTGGCGATGAATCAGCTGTCCCAGTAGGTTCAGGCGCGTCCTGTTGGCTGCAAGTGATAGCCCAGGAATTTCTCTACCTGGTTATTATTATGCCGGGCAGACCACGCAAAAAGCAGGGCCGCCGCCCACAACCCCCGGCCGACTAGGCTTGTGAAATTTTGTCAATCAAATTTTATTGCTGGGGAATATTGATAAAATGGAATCGGCTTTCGGGGGTTCATTTCAGTTGGCAAAACAAGGTGTTCTGGCTCTCTCTCTCGCTCTCGCTCTCTCTCTCTCCGTCTCGTCGACCGTATTTTCGTTTTTCTTGCATACCTTTATGGCTCCCGCGTCTATTTTTGAGACCCAAAAACGGCTACGGTTTACTTTACCCCCCGGCCGGAAGTTTTTGGCTATAAATTTTTTATTTTACTTTGTTGTAGGCTCAATATAAAACTTTTAGTATATTTTCGACGCTCTATCGGATGGCGTTGCAAAAATCCTGACAAAATCAGCCAAAATACCGAAAACTTTGAGACCCATCGGCTGTGGGGGGGGGGGGGGTGTAAAGCAAACTCCTACCCTAAAAATTTTTAGAAATGTTGTATTTCGCCAAATTACTTGTAACTAAAATTTTTCCTTTTTTTGCGCCACGTTTAGCAACAATCTAACAAATTCAATTAGCTGCTTTTTTCCTAAATTCGTTTCTAATATATATTGCCTTTTAGAAGATGCTAAATTGAAGTCATTTTTGCCCCAAAACCAGTACGACTTGATACTATTGGCACCCGCCCATGACAATCCCAATTCCATTTTGCAGCTAATAAAATGCGCATTTCACACCACTAGCACCGGGGGCACACAGCCGGTCCCCCCGACGCCACATGCAAATTCAAGCTGGGCGGCCGGCCGGACGCGCCTCGCCTCGCCAATCGTATTCGATAGTTTTCGCCACGGCAAAACCACTAGTTATGACTCATGAAACTGGATTGTTTTCATGTATAATATTTTGATTTATATAAATTTTCTCATTTTCCACCTAAACTGTTTTTCGAGGAGCTCTCGTCATGCAATGGGAATTCCCCAATTAAAAAGCAATACTTTAGGATTTAAAAAGCGGCTTAACTTACCTATATGCTTATGTTTACCTTTTCCAATTTTTGAGCTTCCCATTAATTGCATAAACTTTAATCGGAAGTTCCCAATCTGAAAAAAAACTAAACCTCATTATTGTAATTCGAGTTATCTTTTCAGCCCCTTTCTCAAAGGCATAATTTATTGGTTTTAATTAAGGAGTAATTTTTCCTCGCTCATGTCTAAACTTTATTTTAGTGCTCCGACTCCTCCTGGCCGTCCGACGTCCTCGACGCCGAGAAGCAGCGGATCGTCCAGAAAAAGAAGGAGCAACTTTTTGCATTATTGGAGGAGGAGCCGGAGATGCATCATTTATACAGGTATTTTATCATTTCAGAGTACATTTAGCTACACAGTATGCTTAGTTGCACCTTGAAACTAACGTTATTTGCTCGATTTTAGTTCGGACTGCGATGTCTTGCGGAGTCGAGCAACCCTCGGCATTTCCCAGATCCAAATCCCGCTCGCCTGGAATGGCGAGCAACATTTCAAGCAAAAAGGAGGTTCGTGCATAGGGGTATTTCGTGCTCAAAAAGCCACATTTTAGAAAGCCGGACCTATTCCATGTTTTATACGGTCCAAACGAAGTCCGGGTTGTTTGAGAGCAAGATAATTGCCAATATCAATCGCCTTGATACGGATGTGGCGTTTCCGGAATCGTTTGTTTTGTGGGTTTTTTGTTGCTAAAGAAACCGAATAAGAATTTTACTATCACCATAAAGGTCTTGAAATCTGTATACAACGCATAAACAATTTATTTAAACGTTTAGCCAAAACGAGCCCGACGATTTTTGCATCGAGCTGTGCGTGTATGCGGCGAGAACGGACGCCGGAAATGATAGTAGGTTTTTCTATCTCGCTCTCTCTCTCTCTCTCTCTCTCTCTCTCTCGCTCGCTCTTCCTCCCTCTTTCTCCCTTTTTCTCTCTCGCTCTCGCTTTATGTCTTTCGTTTTATCTTCCATTTGTCTTTTTTTTGTCTAGACAATTGCTTTATTGTTATTCCGTCTTGAACCCACAGTAATCCAATGTTCTAACCATGCCGTAAAAACCATATTTTGAGGGCATTGGGGAAATTCGAATTTCTAAAATACCCCGATTAAAGGGCAGATTCACATCGTATTTCGGCATTTTTTATAATCCCGTCTTTCAGATTCCGGGAGTCTGCGGCAGCGGATAAGCAGAAGTTTTGGCAAGAAGTTTGGCCTGCAAGTGGTCAGTGCTAAGTGTACATTCAGATTAATTTAAGAATGGCAGGTGACGCCGTAAAAGAGCTGGCATACTTTGCCACATAATTGAAAACCTATCGAATTTCTTGCAACTTTCAGGGTTTCATGCCTCCGTCGTTTTAATCACGGTCTTTTACTCTCATTTTACTATTTTTAGAAATCGCAGCTCCAAGACCAAAGGCGGCAGATCCCGGAAACGATTGGAGGGAGTCATTTTAATTTGATTGCTCGGTGCCTGTTCGTCTTAACGGATGCCAGTGAAGATTGCAAAATTCATGATCTCAAAGTGTCGGCTTTTGGTGAGTTTTGCAACGGGCGAGAGAAAGACAGAAAGAGCAAGAGAGAGAGAGAGAGAGAGAGAGAGAGAGAGAGAGAGAGAGAGAGAGAGAGCAAGAGTGATAGGCCATTTTCTCCTCACCTCAACACTTTTTTCAGCCGATCTTGCCGGCCCACCCCTCTACGGGCATGTCCTTTGTCGCCTCGTCTGTTTGCCCCATTCAGGTTTGTGATAATTACACGGTATTAGACATTTAGCAATAGATTTTCGTAAAAATGTTTCGATCTTGAATTGGTTTAATTAAACCCTAAAAACCACACTTTCCAGTTTTGCATCCCTTGGCAGACGGAATTTTGACGGTACGCCCCAAGCATAGCGACAGCGTTTTTCAACACGTTCGCTGCCGATTGCAGGTTGGAATTTGAAGACTTGGTGGCTTAGTCTGGGCAAGCTAGCAGAGATTCTTTGAGAAAACGAATGCCCGTGAGGGCATCTTATAATGTTGTTTGAGGAAGATCGGGACCCAACAATTTTCTAGGACATTTAAGAATCTAGAATTTACTGGACGCGCGGGAAAGGTGAACGTACATAGCTGTGTCTACTCTCCTCCATTTTTGCGACCCCGAACGGCTACCGTAACCCGGGGGTGGGATCGAAATCCGGGGGATAATCGCCCAAAGCCCACAACTGCCCCCCCCCACCCATTGCTAGACGTTTTTAGACGACTAAAAGGGTTGGAAGTAGTCTGAGCGAAAGTGATGTATTTTGCATGTAGTATCTTGCGATTTGAGGGATACCGTTTAATGAAAAAAACTCTGCAAAAAACCATTACGAGATTATCAACGTTAAAAATTTGAAAAATACAGAAATCAGTTCTAAACTTTTACTTACATAAACTTTTAATAAAGCAAGATAGCGAAATAAAAAACTAAAAAAAAATTTGAAAATTCTTGAAAATGAAGCTGTGAGCATTAAGCCAAGTCCAAAAGTCATCTTCGAAAAATTAGGAAAAAGAAAATGTGAAAAAGACTATGTACTATGTAAAGAAAAATCTCAGAAAAATCACTTAATCAAAAAGTTATTTTCCCGTTTCAGGCTGGTGTTCTACGGTGCTTTGTAAATAATGACGTCCGGCTGAAACCTGAAAATGAGCAAACCCTACATCGAATTGTCATCACCCCAGTAAATCTTTTTATTGCCAAACCTACGCCTTTTCTTTCTCTGGCTTGACGATGTCACGCCAAAAACAATTCGTTTTTAGGGTTCCCGCGTGACCCCGTGTAATTTGGACGATTCGGTGGTGCTGCTGATCGAGCCGACGACAGACAGCCCAATGTTGCAATACATTTTGACCAGCGACTCAAAACACATTGCCGACAGTTGGGCCAAGGCCATTGAGCATCAGCTGAATGATGCGAGTGAGTTTTAAAAGCTGTAAAAATTTTTAGTTGCTTTGGAGGGCAAGAAAAATTAAACAATGAGCATAGCCATGGGCTAATCAAAACCTAACCTAAATCTATGGATTTTATGAATTTTGAGCATCAACCTCAGCTCAAAAAAAATCGAAATATCACAGTTCACAATAAATTCTATATGAAACTAGCGTGAGGCTTGCTATTACAGAGGTCATAAAGCTCCTCGGGCAGCTTAAAGCTGTATGAGCTTCAGAATTTTTCAAGCTTAATTAGATCTAAAGTTTCAACATATCTCCTTTTTTTTAGTCATCTGGGGCGAGTTTGCCTACGTGCACACGAGACTCTCGCTGAATCGACCGAGGGAAGTGATCGACGGGACGATCCCGAGGGACAGATCCTCAAGGCTCTATGATACAATTAATATTAGTGGTAGGTCATGATACAATCAACTTACTAGATAGCGCTAGTTTTATCTAGGGCTAATTTGTGAATCAGATCGGTATCGCGCGCTTCAACAAATTCGAAAAATTTTTGAGCTTTGGTGTTGGCGCTGAGTTCATCAATTCAGAGAGCGTTCAGCAGCGCATTTTAAATTATCTTCCAAAATCGATAGGGTCCTATGTTTAGGATCGCTAAGCAAGGCTTTCATGGGCTCCACTGGCTACAACTCTGGACTCCCGATCGGTCTCCGAAAAGCTCTCGCCGATCAGAATGGGGGTGCTCGAACGGCTCCTGCACCCAAGAAGAACCGAATCCGGACGAACGTCAAAGAAATCTTTAAGGTGGGCTAAACTTTAGGATCTTTAGGATACATTTAAAAACTTCTAAAGAAACCAGGGCAAGCAAAAGATAGCAAAACTGGTTCAAATGGAAAGTAATTATAACGGAGACGCTAAAAAGAGATATCCTTAATATTACACTTGTTAACGGGACGAACCAGGCAAAGTTGCGCTTTCGTGATTTTCGTGATTTTTTGCGATAGCATTAATTTTATTCACCCTCGCAATTTTGCTGGGATCGCGACACTTAACGCCTACGCGGTTTCCTGGCGCAAATGCCTCGTATTCTATTTCACAGTCAAAATCATCGGTTCGTCGTTGCGTGTCGTTATAGCGAATCTTCAAGCAAGAGATGATGCTAGCTGTTGGTAGTATGCGGGGATCTTTAAGAAAAGCATAATTTTTGGCAATACTCCTCCTGAACCCCCAAAAATGAAAAAACCGGCTTTAACTTTGTAAACTGGTATTTTATCGGAATTCTGAAAACGCCATCGGAAGCAGGAGGGTCGATTCCCCCGGGTGACGCAGAATTAGGGCATTTTAGACCCGGGAAGGCCCTCAAATCGGGCCTCGAAAGTGACAACCACACTCACCGACACACAGAGATACACTCCAAAATTATATAAGGTAGGATCTCTGTAAGCACCGTCCACAATGGGGGTGGACTTCACTATATAAAGGGCGTGCCCTGGGTCCCACATCGTTATTGGGCCCGATGCTCAGATAATTTCTCAGAACCCCTGTTCAGCCCATGTTCCCCCCCTCCCCCGTAATCCCCTACCGTATCCCGCCATTTCCATTTTGAGCTGCCCTCCTCCTTTTTCGGCAAGCAAAATTTACCACCGCGGATTAACGATGATTTTTTTGAGTGTGTTTTGGGGTTGGAAGTGTTTGTGGTTTGACATACTCAAGGTCGAGGCAAGAAATCGACGATCTTAAAAATGGCAAAATTCTGAGCGCTAGGCGTTTTTTTTTTGGAAAATGACCCAGACGGGTGCAAGCCGCTCGTGGAATTTTCCAACAAAACATCCTATGTACAATCGGGTACAGATAAATCGGATGTTTTTGCGGATACTGTAAAAAACAGTAAAACGAAAGATAGCATCAGTAAGTGTTGATCCAAATAAAAGAAAAGTAGGTAATCTGAAAGTCAATTAAATGGATCAATTAAAAGAAGAGTATTTTTATCGTTAATGGAATTCAGGTTTCTGTCTTTTTGCACGGAATTTGCACTAAAGCAGTGCTATGCATTTTTTGCAATCCGTTTTTTATCGATTTAGCCATCGATGGAAATCCATAACAAATAAATCCATAAAAAGAGTTGCCGGTTTCTTTAAAGGGGCTACGAAGTGCCAAAAATTGAGTCACGGCCCGAAAATGGGAGCCCTGTACGTAGGAGGCCTCTGTACACCTAGGGGCGCGGGTAGCTCGCAAATTTGAAATGGCCTGTTGTCACCTCGAAATCACGTTCTCGGCTGTTCCTGGGCCAAATTTGATGATTAAAACACCAAAACTATTTCAAATTGAGTGAGGATTTCAAAAATGGGCTCAGAATGCGCGAATGATAGTGTTTTCCCAAAGAAACCGGGCAAAAACAACTTCGCGCAAAAATCGAAAGAGCGAAAGCTCTCGTCCCGCAGCGCCCGCTGGCAATTTGCCAGAAATCAAAGAGGCCTCCCAAAAGGGCTTTGATTTGGCAGTTCTGAGCCCCTTTAAAGGGGCCTGCAAGTCTGAATATCGGGTGACCGTCGCGAAAAGTCATCAGTTACAATCATCTTTAAAAACGCGACTTCTGCGTTTCGCAGCGAATTTGAAATTTACACTTTAAAGTGCCTCTTTCTGCTAGTAAGTCTAAAATCCCTGTCATTAAATAAAACACTATTCAGGATCAACCCCTACCCGAGGAGCCGCAGCAAGACGTGAGAGAACCCTTGCCAACGGAATCGGCTCGAAATTCGCGCTACATCATCAACCTTTCGGTTGGGGATGATGTACCGCTACAGAAAGTGTCTTCTTCAAAAGGAATGTCAGGTAGAATTTTTATAGATTTTTATCGTACCGTATAACGTCTAATATGTCTCGAAGTAGACAATTATCACGTGCTCCTTGTCAATTGGTCAAATTTTTATTATCAGTCCTTACCAAGAAAGGTTAAAGATTTTCCAAAAATTAAAACGGATAAATTTTTCTATCTACCTTTATCAAATTTTTGATATATTTCTCTTTTCCCTATACCTGTCCGCTACTTTCAAACCATCGCTTACCCCTTAAGCTTCAGTCTCCCCAACAGTCCGTCTCCGCCCTCGTCCCCCAGCTCATCCTCCACCCCAGCCTCCTCACGAAGAAGCTTCACCTCCTACCCTCCATGCCCCAATAACACATCGGGCTCAACGGCCGAGAATGGGTGTCAGCGAGATCAAGGTCAACAATACGGTAGGTACCCCGGCTTTTTCCAAATCCCGACGACGCTTTCCCAGTGTGACTTTTGCCCTACTGTCTAGTTTGAACCTTTTGAAACCGTGCTTTTTTTGGCGTTTATAAAAAATGTTATTAAAGATATCATAACCTTATTAATTCTAAATTCTGACTCTAGGAAATTCTGATACATTTAAATAGTTCACATGCAAACGTCGACGATCATACAGTGATTTACGAAGTTTTTCGGAAATCTAGCACAAAATGAAAACCTTCTGCTCCTGTAGTCAAATCTAAATACGAGGTTTTTGCACGTATGCAAATTTCAAAGACCGTTCATTTTATAGGTGCTTCGACGTCCCACGCTGGAAAATCCTGGTGGAAAAGCTGAGAATCGGCATTCGTGGGTAGCTAGTTGGATGAAAAACGCGAACCCGTCCGGCGCACAAGTCACAAGATTATGATTCTACTGGTTCCTCTATTGTCCCATCCCTTTAAATCGATTGAATGAGCTTTAAAATGATTTCTCGACTTTTCGATGGAGCCAATCAGGAGACCCCCCTCGATTGCCGTTTGCTCAATGCATATAGATACTCAATGTGATCGAAGATTTTCGAATAAAGTGCAACCCCATGTAAAAAAATTAATAAAAAACCATTCAGCACCGAGGGATGACACGCAAAAGATGTAGTGAAAAGATATTTTTATTAAATTTGAATTTTCAGCCACTTTTGATGCAGGTCCTTTGTGTGCGCCTATTTAAAAGGGAAAACGCCAAAATCCCGACAAGCTATGGCGAGAGACAAAAATCCCGACATTCAAAATCTCGCGGCAGCCAAAATCCCGATAGCGAAAATCCGTTATGCAAAACGGCTGTTGAAAAGCGAGTCGCATCTCACCCAAGTCAAAAAAAAAATTTCGGGATTATGGCTGTCGGGGTTTTCTCTCTCGGGGGGATGCCGAGATTATGGCAAAAGAATCTAATTAAGCTAACTTCGTTTTCGAATTCGAAATTAGAGAAAGGCTTAAAGATTTAGAATATAAAATCTTTCGAATTCTTCAATTTACAGATAGTTGCTTTTGCAGGTTAGAAACTCTAAGTAGTGGTCTAAAACAACGATACAGTAACCCAAAAATCCGTGGGTTGCTCAAAATAAAGCGGATTTCAGACAATAAAAAAATTGCTCTTTGCATACGTGGGATAGTGGGGGGAGTCAGCAAACTGCGTTCGCGGGGGGCTCGGCTACTGTAACCCGCGTCCCCTGGCCCAGTAAATGTTCATAGTGTAAATTGGGAAAAAAGCGGGGCATTCGTTGGTCAGGTTGTGAAATTGAGCAGACGTCTGTCCGGGCGTTCGATGAAATGCCCTTAGAGTAGAGGGTTTTTTTTGAGGAAATCACGGATTACAAGTGAGAGCGTGAAAAGAGCATGTTATGGCCGGGTGGCCATCTGAATAACCGTGCCTTACGTCGGTATAAAACGATTTTTTTTTTGCAGTTTTTATGAATGAGCCTATTTCCTGAAATTTCGTCTAAATTTTTCTATATGAGTTTAAATACTTTTAAGTCTACAACATAATACAACAAATGGCATCAACAAATTCGTAAATTCATAAATTGTTTAAACCTGATGAAAATTTACTTTGGACAAAATAGCTAACTATATTATGGCCAGTGAAAAATCCTAGAAAAATTTAGCAATTTTTGTTAGAAAAAAAGTGCATGTAACAAGGAATGTGTTTAACATAGTAATAATGAAAAAGCGGAACAGAACCCTTGATTTTTTTCCTTTAATTGCTTTCTTACAAATCCCGATCATGCCTTCGGATATCACAAAAATTTCATCGGATTTCCAGTATTTTTGCAACTGCAAATTTATTGTGAAAAGTTCTTCAATGGCAAGTATGAATCAGCGAATACTGTAGCGAAAGAAAATCCATCCTGCCTGATGTGTTTCCCAGTAAATCCGAGAGCAAGGATCGCTGCTCGACACTTGACTGTACAGAACCAGATGCAATAAGCGCCCACCGACGGCTTAGTCGGCCAAAGCCTTTCGGCATTTCCGGAAAAGCCTCATTACCGCTTTTTTGTGCATGGCAATCAACATGTTTACCAAGTTCTACGCTACGGACAGCAACCGGTTAGAGGGAAGTAGTATGTGAAATATTGGGCTGTGGTGGGCTTTTTATTGCATGCGCACAACAACGGGCGTTCAGTTTTGCCATTGCCTCTTGAAAGTTCTCTTGGAGGATTCGGAATTTACGGTTCTTTTTATTGATTCGCTTTTACCCGTAAAGCTGAGCTAGTTTAGCTTGATTTTATCGTCTAAGCGTCTGGATATATCTTTAGCATGCAAAACCGCCTTGCCTTTACTTGGGTCCTATTCAAACCAAAATTATTCGATCGATTCTTACTGTAGCGGTCAAAGTGATGTCCGGTCGGGAAGTCGTTTGTTGTACGAACCCGATACATCCAAATTTTATGAAAATTGTGGGTAGGCCAATTCTGCTACTGGCAATCCGATGGCAATCCCGAAATCCGCGAAAAATTAAATCTTGATGCTCAAATTCCGGTTTTAAATTTTAAATTTTCGAA